ACTGAGCCATCTCTCCAGCCCAGGAGGGTAATTTTAACATGAGGAGGCTTGAGCTGAGGCTCTGCACAGTCTAAGGCAGGAACTGTAGATGCTCCCTCTTCTCTGCTGTGAGGACCTGGCCAGTTCCCAGGATCGAGAATGGGGAGGGCTTTGTTTTAAATAAGACAGAGACCTGTCGATGCGCTTTGCATCCTTGACATCTGGCCAGTGTCTGGGAGTGGACCTGCGCACTGGACCAGGTGTTTGGACGACTGCCGATGACTGGGCAATGAGCCCCCTTTTGTTCATGAGGCTTAACAGCTTGCCAGGGAACACCTCTAGCTGCTGCTGTCTCAACCTGGGAAAGACCTGCAGTCAGATGAGTGTAAGCCTGTGCCCGTGATGGTGTGCTGTTGATACGTATTCCCATGTGGTTCCAGTGATGTGTAAGCCTGTTCCTGTGATGTTTACTGGGATGCGTGTTCCCATGTTTTTCTGGTGATGTGTAAGTCTGTGCCCGTGATGTTTACTGGGATGCGTATTCCCATGTGGTTCTGCTGCTGTACACAGAACACCTAGTGGTAAATTCCTGGGTGAAGCCCCCTCTCTTGGGGGCTCCCACTCTATCCCTTTGTTTCAATTAAGCATCCTCATAGAATAAATCTCTCTCTTTACTAATTTCATGACGCACAGAAGTTCTTTCTCACGGATTGAATCAAAAATAAAAGTATGTGCTAGAAAAGCGGCTAAAATTATTTGCCCCTACACTCCCTGAAAGAAAACAAGATGTCTTCTTCCCACTGGTGGAACGGGATACAATATTCCACCTGTGGGCAGCTCAGGCAGCCATGGGTCCCTTTCAGCCTCACCCTCCATGGGCTCAGACCCAGTCCAGTGTTTTTTCTTCAGTAGGTTGAACTTTACCCTAGACTCTGATGCTTCTCCTTCATATTAATAAAGTGAGAGCCTGGAAGACCTGAAGTAAGAATGAAGATTGGGTCAGGGACATCACTAACTGCAGGAACTCTCTGGATGTTGGGGATGTCATGGTCTGTCACAAGTCACTATTTAAGTGACTAAATTTTTTCCTTTTCAGCAGCAATTAAAAACTAACGCATGGTTCAAGTAAACAGATGAGCACACACAGTGTCTTCTCTAATGAGGCTGTGATCCACTGTGCACAGTAGGTCAATAGAATGAAATATTTTTGTATTTCTTATTTAATATGTTTTGCAAATTACCATTTCAGCACAGTCTATTTCAGTCATCGGTCCCTGTCCTGCTCCAGTTCAGGCTTCTTTGGCTGGTCCAATGTTCACTAAACAGCCCTGTGCCCTCAGCGCCTGGGACTCACAGTCTAGATGGGTAGGAAAGGGAGAGGGACA